AAGTTCACGTGCTGTGTTAACTATCTTAGTTCTATCGCAATAGTACCCAGTGTCTCTCGGACAACTCTTCTGGGCCTGGTGACCTGTCGCGTACAATCGGTGTGTCATCCCAAACCTTCAAACATCTGGCCAAAAACCTTGGAGCTCTTTACTTCTCCGGCGAAGCTACCAGCGAAGATTGGTACGGATACATGCAGGGGGCGTATATCACGGGCGAAGAAAAAGCGAAAGCTATTGTCCAGATGATGAAGCATAGAGAAGCAGGAAAAACATACTTTAGTATTTTGGAATGGATCAAAGGCTAATATTGCAATTGATAGTCGTTTGAAGAAAAAATAAACCTTTTGGTTTGAATCACGGCCCTGAGTGTTTGATTTTTGATTTTTGATTTTTCTACTCCCCGAGCTCCCTCGACGAGGTTTTTTCTTGGGCAATGTAAACTAAAGAATATATGCCTCAAAATATACAACAACAACAACAAAAACAAAAACAAAACAAAAAACAAAAAAAGAGAGAGAGTGAGAGAAAGTATTCCCATAAAGTTTTAAGAGTAAAGGAACGAAGAAAACTGATTTTAGAGGAAAAAAGATAGAGAACGAATAGAGAAAGAGAATGAAGGAAAAGAAAAAAAAAAAGATTGGGAAGAAGGATTAGAAGGACAGAAAGAAAGAAAGATTCCTTTTCTAAACTTGAACTGATACAGTTTGAGTTCAGTGGCCTTATATAGCAGCGCGTATTTTTCATCTCGTATTTTTATATCTGATAAGCACTTGATGCTGAATTCCTTTCCTTCCTAAGGGACGAACCATTTGTCTTTGGGGGTTCAATTGAAGTCAATTGAAACGGTGGTATCAAAAATTAGGAAAAAGGCCGGAAAAGTAAAAAATAAAAAAGATGAAAATTAAGACGGAACTTCCTATAATTGAGAGAAGGGTGCTCAGGTCACCTTAGACTATGATAACTTGCGAAAGCCAGGTTTTGCTCCCTGTGTTATTTTTTAGCGCGCGCTTATTCTTCGTTTGCAGTCATGCAAAGCAAGTGAACAATACGTGTTGCCTAGCAACAACGAGTTTGATTATACATAAGTTTAACTATACTTTGGCGAGACAAATATAAAATAAAAATACGATGTCTATGTTTAAGTAGTTCTTGGGACATGGAGCTTGATAGCAGAAGTGTAGTTCACACACCACCGCCAAGTTATGATCAGGTTGTGAGAGAAACTGTCGGCCCTCCTCCAATATACACTGAAACAGACGAAACAAGAGCAACAGAACAGCAAATCCTAGCAGTTCAATCGAGCAATGGAGGTAGAAATCGAGTCGTAAGCAATGCTTGGACCGAGCAATCACATGTAGTGGTCACTCAACCGACTAGCGAAGTGATGAGACGGACTTCAGAGAGTCAAGTAACGGTAGAACAGCCTTCAAATCGTGAGCAAAAGAAGAGTTATTCGAGTAATTGTTTCTGTTTTGCTTGTAAATGGAAGCCGTGTTCACAAGACGGCGAATGTATTTGTTATAACTGTATTTTTTTCGCTATATATGCTGTAACGTGCGGCCCTGGAGTCTGTTGTTGTGTTTTCTGCCAGAAAATTTGCCCAGAAACCTTCGCAGATTGTCCTTCGCGAGACTCAAGCATGATGGATAGTTATACATTCAGAAACGACAACTTTGGCACACGTTGCTGTTGGGCTACATGTGGTCCTATTTGTTGTTTGTCTTGTGATGAACACGCTGACGTATGCCCCCTGGCTACCCCATGTGAGGAGAGATTCGGTATGAGGTGTATTCGTAGAATGACGTGTTACTGTGGAGGTAGTGAATGCAGTCAGTGTACTGTTAATTTGATGGACGAACATGCGTGTGGTTTCATCTGGGATTACAGACAGTGTGGATTCAACCCGAACTAATATAAAGTTGAGAGAATAAGAGAAAGATAGCATTTGATATTTTTCTCTTATTCTCTCTATTTCATTACACACACCGAACGCATAATCTATTACAACTATAATATAAAGTTGAAGAGGTTCACGACGAATTGGAACTTTTTTCCAGAGAACAAGAAAGAGCAGCCGCAATGAATAATGAAATATGGCAACTGGAATTGCTTGATTATTGCACTGGAAAATGGGATTTAATGCCGTGAAAATTAAATATATAGACCATTTTTAAATTCATACAAATTTGTCCTTGGCTTATGACTCTTCAGTGATAATATTCACAAATACCAAACGGTAAACTAGAGAGCTTAACTTTAACAATGTAGTGAGCTTGAAATTCAAGTATTTGATAATATTTAAATATGGTAACTCAAAATGGACTTTCGTTAAAACGTATTTTATTAATGTTATAACAATATAGTATATTAAATATTTATTCCTTTTTCTCAATTTTCTCATTCTGTTTTCTTCTCTCATTTTCCTATCTCCAAAAAAAAAAAAAAAAAGAATGTTGCGAAATGAGCGTACCGTTAGCGACCTTTTTATTAATGTAATAATAATATAGTATATTAAATATTTATTCCTTTTCTCTTTAATTTTCTCATCCTGTTTTCTTCTCTCATTTTCCTGTCTCGAAAAAAAAGATGAATATTGCCATTTGCGACCGTTAGCGACCTTGGCCGTATAAATTATATATGACTCCCATAAGGTGCCGTTCAATATTTATCGAAGGATCGGAGGAGGAAGGACGGGGGGAGGGAGGGAGGAAGAAGAAGGGATTGGTAAGCATGAAGTTTTCTCGCACCACCCAACGGTTTTCCATCCCCACCGGAAACTCCGATAAATAATGAACGGACAATAAAGTGTAGACTACTCTATCGTCTCGCGTCCTTCTTTTGTCTTAACTAGCTTCGATAGCATCTTTCCCTGTCGTTGGCCGGTAATATAGGCTCCTTGCATGTACCCAAACCACTCGTAGTCTAAAGCCTCACCCGCAAAGTGAAGATTTTCTAGATTCATTGCAAGATCCTTGAAATCTTGTGGAGTTATTCCAACGACTGGTTCAGAGAATGAGCCAAGTGTAAAGGGATTGGT